CGTCGCGAGTTTTCTATAAAAAAAAACTCGATAAGGTCAAAATTTCGTTTTTTCCTGCCTAGGAATCAAGCAGGAGCGTCCTCGGTTAGACAGACTCTCCAGCTTTACTTACTGTGGGTGGGTCCTAAACAGATTCCCTGTTACATCAGTTGAATTCTGTAAGTCCTTCAGTCAAGGTGACAGGAGGCAAGGATTTCCCATTTCTCACCACTCAATATACAGTGGCTTTTATGAGATTGTCGATGGCCAGTGCTTCCTCGCTCCACCAGCTAGGCTCTACCGCGCGGTACCGCCGCCAATTTCTCAAGTGTTTGAGATGGGCAGCACTGTTTAAACAGAACTCGGACCAAAACAGTCACCCACCCACATCGTCTTTGCAATTGCTTGCTTTCCAGAGTGGGTAATCCAGGGATAACAACGAAGGATCACAAAGGCGGCCTTTCAAAAACCCTTTCGGCTATCCTTTTTCAGGCCAGTTTTTCCTGTTGTGAAGTATACATGAATATAAGGCCAAGCTGGCGAAGTCCCATGATACTTCACACAATTTATAACCATTCGAACTGCAAGTAGCACTCTGGTGCTTTCTCAATTTTTACAGTTACACTCAAAATAGCAAGCCATCACATAATACTATAATAAAAAACTGCTCTCCAGCGGCTACAGTTTCGATTAAGTTACTTCGAAGGAACACGAGGCTCGGCCGGTACAGGGAGAACCCTGAGGGTCTGGTGGCTGTACTACTTCTAGTCGGACTCTAGAGCACAGAGTCATATCATAATGAGGATTCATTATTGCAATCTATACTTAAATGATAAAAAGTAAAAAAGTAAACGACGAGAACTTTTACTAAAAGCATCACCCTTGTGATTTGCTCTGAGAGCAGTTCCGACAAAAATGCTCCTTGGCCTCATTCATTGGCACGACGTTCCCATTCCATGGCCCGAAAATTGCTTTTTCTAGATAAACCTATACTACTCTCAGTTTTACCGGAAGAATTGAACGCTCTTCAAACGATCCTTGAACGGTGTAGGCAAAGGGAAGGGGTTGCAGGTTCCTTAGCCGTGCTCAAGTGTTCGGAGGATCAATGACGCCTGCCTACTATGTCTGAAAAGTTAATTTCGGAATTATTTAGTAGATAACCGATATTTGAGACGAAATAAATTATACACTTCTCATTTCAGTTTCAGTTCATTTGAACTAGGAGTCAAAGCCTTCGTTCCAGAACCTAGTTCTATTTGGAGACAATGCTATCTACCTACTTAAATTACTGTTTCGAGGAGGCATACGACAAAGGAGTTTGAGATGAATGATTTTAAAGTAAGAAACCAGAAATAAAAAGAGACCACAATGCGAAATGGGAACATAGGGGAACATGCGATGGGACCGATTTTGATGAGGTCAACCAAGCTCCCATCTGATCCCAAAATGCTCAGGTATAACGGGTATAACGGCAGCGCATGAAAGGAGACAATTCGATCGTCATTTCAGCCCAGTTTCCAGCCCACTGAAATTTGTTGATGAAATTATTTTTCACGGCTTTTGCTGTAAGAATGATGCGAAATTCGTTTCTTCTCATTGACACCTCCTAATTTATCGATATACCGTTTATAGAGGTGGGATGTGTGGTCAGACTGGTATGGTGTGGTAGAAATGACCCCGGTCCTTCCCTTTTTCCCCTCCATCCAAGCCCGCAGGTGAGGGGTGCACTAGGAACGAAACTGTCGCGTCACGGCGAGAGAGACGTCGTGCACGACGGAATGTAGCAGAATGCAGCAGCGAGTAAGAAATACTGGAACAAAAAAACTAACAGTAGAATCATGCCAAAACTAATAATTGCATAGCGGGTGAGCTGTATGAAGAACGCTACAATTGCTTTAATGAGGCAAATGGTCCGCGACAGCCGCGTGCGGCGGACCGATTACACAAACCGTTCCTACTGCCCGTCTCCCTATGCCTTACCGTACTACCATTCCTTTGTGAACTCACATGTTAGATGAAAGAGTTACTATCCCACTAGATTAGTTGTTTAGAAATTGGCGATTAGTCAAGCGGACTCCACAGCTGCGGACAGCTGCAGTCAGTATCAAAAGCCCTATCCTTGGGAATAGAAACTATTGAAAAATTCAGAAAATATTTTCTTCTTGAAATTCAAATCTTCCATATGAACAGCCCTATTCTTGGGCACTAGAACTATTGTAAAATTTCAAGAAATAGCTTTTTGAATTACAAATTTTCCATATCAAAAGCCCTATTTTTGCGCATTGGAACTATTGTCAGATTTGGAAAAATAGCTTATTTTGAAATTTATATCTTCCAAATATGTGTAGGATGGATTATTTTTCACTAAGCTATCAATGGGTCGGGGAAACGAGTGGTCCCATCAGAATTGAGGGACTGACGAGAATGGAAGGCAGTGAAAAACGAGGAAAGCACAAACGACTGATGGTACTGTCGAGAAAATGGGTTATGACAGCATCGGATGATAACTAGAAAGCCTACCACTGGGTATATAGTGGGAACAGGACTATGAGTTAACTTCAAGATGGATCCAAGTGGTTTGTTACTCGAACTGAAGTGGTCTCATAGTCCTGCTATATACACTCGACACCGTAAGCTATGAATTTCACTCCAAAGCGCTTCAAAACGACTCTCCAAGAGGTGAAGTGGCAAATCGAGTCTCACTGCATTTACTTACTACTTTATATCACTTGTTTAATTATGTCTATTGAGAGTACTTCAATGTGCCCCGAATTCAAGCACCAAAGTACCAAGTACCGCGCAAGGGCACCGTTACAGGTCTGCGGACTTAGGTAGCCATGGAAGGTAACAACGACGTAACGAAAAAAACGAAAAAGAGAAATTAGAAAGAAAAGAAAGGAAAAGCAATAATTCAGCGTGAAATAATTTGAATGAATTCGAAAAGTGTGTACGTAGCAGCGCCACAACATATTTGACGCCTACTTCGAAGGGCATGGCTACACTCGTGCGATTCGGACTGCGCACGGCATATCGCGCGCGAAATTCGTGGCGGTTCGAATGACTCCGGCGCCTATTATTGGGGCACAAACTT